GAGTAAAACAAGGTGCAAAAGTTGGGGGTCATCGCTCTTAGGTTATAGAGGCCATCGAAGGCAGGTTGAGAGGCCATCGCTAGTAGGTTGGAAGGAAATCGAAAAAATCCCTATGACTACAAGGGTTACACACTTATGGAAATGCGTACTGACTGTGAGGTTCTTGGCTTAGCCTCTTGCCATTCGGAAAAGGAAAATTGCAGGCACGTCCAGCTGGCCAAGCTGGATATCCCACCAGATTGCATAGCTTTGTTAGACACGGTCTGCAATCTGGCGCCGTGTCCCCTGCTAAAAAGTTCAAAACACCAAAAGCGAGAACAATCCGAAAGGATCCCTGTGATTCCAAAGGTTACACACACACCAAGAAAGCAACCCAAGAGAAGAGGAATTAACAATCTCTGGAGTCCAAGTTTTAATACACAAAGCAACCCAAGTCAGTTTGGGCATCGCTTTCTGCTAAGACTGAACTGAGTTTCTCTCATGGATGCAGGGTTTTCCACTTGGCTTCAGACCGAATGGGTCACGAATGCCACGAACATGGTGCGCGCATGGCGGAGCAGATCGCACTAATTCGGACCACGCCCCCGCCACACCAGTTCTTCATAAGCGAACTTCGCGTTCGGACTGTATGGATGCTCCTCTCAGCACAAGCAAGTTGCAGATTATAGGTTTTTGAGATCCTTCTTGTCGATGTTGGATTTAGCTTATTCCATTTGGTTTCTGCGCCCCCTTCCGCGAGCATGTGTGCTTCGGCTGTTGTTGTTTCATGTTTAGGTTCAATAGCAGGTCCTTGGTGTTACGTAACGTATTGAGTTTTTGCCATGAAGATGTGGGTTGTTGAGTGTCGGAACTTCCGTCGGTCAGGGTTTCATCTTCAACAAGATCATCAACCTTGGCCGCACACCCAGACGTTTTCTTTAGGACAAAATGGACATGAAGGAGGTCATCCACAGGCATGCAGTCTCATATTTCAAGTTCGACTGCAATCTCTGCATTTTTGGCTCCTCGAAGGTTTTCCAAAGATTGTTGACAACCGTTGGTTATTGCTAGATGTGACATGATGAATCCGTTCCGCAAATCCCTATATAAAAAGACATGTCTTCCGCACATGTAGGTCAACCAATAGCACTTCAAATGGTGTACCTGATTTGCCGTTCGACTGAAACGGACTGAACCGTGTTTCACCGAAGTGAAACGGACTGGCCGGCCCCATGGTCCCCAAGCCAAAGGCACCAAGCGGTAGAGCGTCCCACCCGAAGGGTGATAAGGAGACGCCTTTGCCAGCAAGGCTGTTGCCGACGATTTTGCCCAAGGAGCTTTTCCAGGGGGTGCCTTTGCATAGATGTCTCTCAGGCTTTGGGAAGCACTGGGCAAACAGTAGTGGTGAGCAGTATGCAGATTTCTTCTTTAGCGAAGAGGTCGAATTTCTCGAGGATTTCTTGAGCCACGATTGGGCTACATCACGCTGGTCCAAGCTTTGCGCCTTGCTGGTGGTGTATAACTCCAAAGCTGCTTGCATTGCAGCCGGCATTACAACCTTTGTGTGGTCCATCCTGGGAAAAGCTCTCCTGATGCCAGATGCTTCCAGAGAGCAGACCTTCTTGGAGTATTGTGTCTTTGTGACCCCGGTGATCTTCGTGTATTATCTCTTCCTTGTTTGCTGGCAGCAAATCAGAAGCTTTTTCGTTAGTCCCAGCATGGTCTTCTTGGACAAGCTTTGCATTTCTCAGCACGACATGCACAAGAAGGAGGAGGGCATCGCCGGGCTTGCAGCCTTCCTCTCCAACAGCAAGAGGATGGTGATACTTTGGTCCCCCAAGAGCTTCAGCTCCAGTTGACATGTTTTTGAAGTCTTTGGATACTTAGTATAATTACTTAGTACTGGTAGATGTTTTTGACCACTTGTGACTACTCTGATTCACAAGGGTTCCACTTTAAACGCTGATGATGTCGAGCAACATGTGCAGTGAACTTCCACATCGCACTTCCGCATTTGCAAATCAGGTACTTCAGTCGCTTGTGGTGCACATACGAGCTTGGGGCCTTTTTGCGCTTGCACAGGCGGAAACGCGTTGAGATCATCCCGGCATCGTTTGGGGCCTGTTTGTGCATCGGCAGCGTCCTGCTGTCAGGGAGTTTCTTTGTCTTCACTGGGATTGATGCAGCATCGTTCTCGTACGAGGAGTTTTCTCTGGAGCTAGCGCATGTGATTCGACAGGTGATGGCTACAGTGACAGTCTTTTTGGCTGTGTGGGTCTATATGAAGACCTTGGGGAGTCTTGCTCAGCTGTCAGAGCAGCTATCAAGCTTCAGCATTCGGGATGCTGAATGCTTTTGCTGTTCTGTGGGCCATCGCATGCCTGAAACTGGTCAACAGATCTCATGCGACCGGCGCGTCGTGTATGGTACACTGAGTACCTGGTACAGCACGGAGAAAGGCTCGAAAGGCACAGATCCTCTGGAATTGTTTGATCAAGAAGTACGATCTCACCTCAACGTGTTTGTTGCACAGCAAATGGGAAATGGCTATTTTCCGATCACTCATTTCTCCTGTATGCTTATTGTCTGCCGTGTTTGCTTGTCGTTTAGTTTCTATTTCAAAGACGTGCTATCGCCAGCCACTGTATGGCTAGAAGTAGAGCCAGAAGCTGCAAGTCCATTCTTCCGCTGCAGCAAAATGATCGAAGAGCCCGTGAATCTTTCATTGGGGCTCTTTGTCGTACTTGTACTCGCTCGACTCAGTGGGCGGATAGCGCTCAACTTGCGGAACCGATGTTTCACCATGCTATGCTATGTTGCACTGCTGGTCTTGATAATGGAAGGGGTGCAGCAGCTCAATAGAGCATTGCTGCTTTATTTGAGGTACAGCCTGTACAGTGCTGCTGATTGGGCGGCCCTTGCATACCAGCTCGTCCTTACAATCTTTTGCGTGTTGGGCATCCGTGTGTTGGCTTCGCGGTCCAAGGCTGGCCGCCACGGAGCAACTAGTTCTGACCATTGAGAGACTTGCTTCGGACACTTGTGCCAGGCTGGTGGGGACTGCCTCTTCAACTGGAAGAGATGTGTAGAGGCATGGTTTTGACCATTTGTAGGGTTTGATGCACCTTGGCAGGAGCTTGAGTTTCACCCGGGTTTTGGACAGGGAGATTCAAGCAGAAAGTGCTGCGTGTGAGATCGACATACTTTGCTTCTGAAGGAAGTGGCAACTGTGCAGCAACGTGAGATCGACAGATTTGGTAGAGGTGCTTTGTTATAAGATAGTTCGTCTCACTGCATCATGTGAAACACGCCATGAAGTGTAAGACAACATGAATATGGCAGTTCACGTGTGTCATTGGTTGAGTGAAGGTTCTCGCTACTTGCTGCGGAGCGCACCAGACGGAGCCTTCCTCAGACAGTGCATGGCAACGGCCACTTGGCATGACGACAGCATGAGATGATATGACCCGCCAACACGACCTGCTGCTTGCCGATTTGCCATACTTGCCGATCTGTTGGGGTGGTTTGGGGAGGTATATATGGGGCGGTACATATTCCAGTCCCATTTGTCGTGTTTGGGTTGTCAAAGTTCAGCCCAGCTGCACGGGATGTTTTTTAACTATTTGTCTTCGTGCTGCGACAAGACTCGGCCGTACCTGATGGGGCCATGGGGTTGAAATTGGCAACGAACATTTAAGAAGTGCCAGGGGAACAGTATGAGATATGATATAGTTATTAATATATTAATCGTATTAATATATTAAAATATTTATAGAGTGTGCTTCTTCAAGTATCATGAAATTCGGGGTGTTCCGGTCTTGCCCCCTTCTCCAAATCAACATCAATCAACCAAAACGAACAGCAGGCTCAGCTACACCCGATCGCTGCTCAGCTACAGAGCAAGTATGGACGACTCTCTCTCTCTCTCCTATGAAGTGGTTCAATAAGTGTTCTACCAGAATTGGTATGTAACAATACCATGCGTGTCTCACGCAGAGCATACCAATTCCGGTTTGCCACGTCCATTGGCAGCTGTCCACCATATGTGACACGTGTGTGGGACATCTGTGCGACACGAAGCAGCAAACCACGAGTCCTCGGCTGAGACCTGTGGCAAAAGCCATGCCAACTTGAGGGGATGAAACAGTTTTTTTCTTCAAATACCTGAGACTTCCTTATGCGTTTTTTTTCCTTTTTATAGTTTCAGATAAAACTGTAGTGAAGAGAACCACACCAGTTTCGCTGGCGAACGTGTCGGAGCCGGAGCTTTCGTTCGCGTCGGACGTGCGCCGTGGTCCGACCTCCAACGGCCAGACTCCCATCGATCTGATGGAGCCATCGAGCCAGAATGAAACAAAACACATGTATGTGTAGACTGATGTGGGTCAAGGGTCAATCAATGTGCGCAGAATTGATGAGTCAGAACTCAATTCACAAGCACTGTGGTAGCTGGTAGCTGTCGTAAGCACTTAATGCCACCTGGTCCGGCCCCAGGCCGCGCCAGGATCTCCCCACGCACCAGGTGCAGGAGTTGGTGAGACCACCCTCGCGGTGGTTCCGAATGACTGTGAGGCTAAGGTGGGGCCAGTTGGAGAGCAGTCAATGATGGGATCAGTCAATGATCCCTCTTTTCCGATGGAATTCGTCCAAACTTAATCTGTGGAAGACAGGGTGCGAGCGGGAAAATTGACACATCAAAAGTGAGTCCAAGCCGATGAATCCTGAGGACATTGCACACATGAATCCAAGTTCTTGGACTGAAATAGTCTTCAGATGTTTTCAGTGAAGGACGGAAGAACAAGAGGGATCCGGTCAAGGGGTGAACAGAAGGAATCAGACCCCTGTTGACACCCTACTTGTCGCCAGTCATCAGGCATTTGGCGTGCCCTTATAGAAAGATTGCTAGAAAATGCTAGAAATATCAGAGTTCTGCTTGAGAGCCATTAAAGCCTCACGAAGGGCCAAGTCTATCAATCAAGCTGAAGAGCTTTTGCTTTCTGCTTCTTGGAATTCGTGGTGAAAAGCTTGTGTGTGGAACCCTTTCTTTGGGTGCTTGGCAGATTCGACCGACGTTCGCCTAGGAATTTGGCTCGCGAACACGCGCACTTCGAACGCATTCATGAGTCTCCGGGTGCGTTTCTCTTCTTTGCCAGATTAAAAGGTGCCACACGATCGGTACGGGTTCATAATCTTGGTGTTTGTATGTGTTTGTGCTATCTACTCTGAAACCACAGTGATTGACTCACCCAAAGCCCAAGAACCCTGCTGAAGACACATTGCTAAATACCTGTTTCAATCCAGGTCGGTCCTTTCCCTCAACTCCCTCAGTCCTGGATCCCTTCCGCCCGTGAGGTTACCCGTCAGGTAATGCACTTTTCATCATTGTTCCATCTCTCCGAGGACTTGGAGCCTTTCCATCTTTCCATCCATTTGCCTTGGCCTTCCCCGAAGTCCTGTTGGGGTGTGGCGAGGCCCCATTTGAGCGCCTGGAGCACTGGAGGCGAGATCTGCTCACAGTTCGTGCATCCAAATGGGGAGGGTTTATTGGTCAAGAGTCTACATCATATGACATTTATATCAAGGATGTACAGATCATACATAATGTGACATTTCATATCATATCATGGTATCAATGTACTTTGTGTCCTACACTGTATGTTTGACATCCAGGCAGTGAAGACAAGAAAAGCTGGGTGATGATATTTGCCAAAGGGCAAAGGGCATCAACAAAGACCCAGCTATCGTTGTGAGGTTCATCTTTCGTGAGCTCAGTCGGTATTGGAGGTATCTAGTGAGCTCGGTTCACTGTGTCCTCCCCTTGAACCAGTTCTTGAAGCAGATCCGGCGTGAACGGAAGGAGAGTGTCTCGGTGTTGCCCCGGACACCCCGGGTGCTACTGAGCACTCCAGGTGGTGGAAAAAAGGATGGTCAAGCAGACGACATCCAAGCCATCATGTCTTTTTTACACATACCGTACATACTTTTATACATACCCGTGCTATCACTGACCAGATGTGCTTTGGCACCTGATGAGTTTCCTGCTTGAATCTGAGTGTACTTGAGTTGTGTTGTCGTGCAACTCGTCATGCAAGTTGTTAGGTTGTTCCTGCTTGTATACATCGTCGATGTGACGAAGTTGATGAAACGAGCTTGATTTCTTCCCTGAATTCGCCTTGCTGCACTCGGCGAAGCCGAATTTGCCCGGACCGGCGGCGCCGGCGGAGGTATCAGCTTGATGTTTTGGTTGGTGAAATGTCGGTGGGTTGAAGAGTCCTTTTGAACTGAGCCTCTCTTTTAATTTTTCGGATGTGGTCGGATCTGGTCATCCGATGGTAGAAGCCGCCCATTGGAGCCAACGGCCGGGACCGGGAGCGAAAGGCAGAAGCGGCATTGCTAGTAGTATCTAGTAGTAGCTTCTAGCTACTAGTAGTAATGCCTTGTTACTAGTAGCGAAGATCCTAACCTTACCTATCTCATTCCGAAAAACAGCTGGCCGAGGGCGATTGAGCTGTGAGAGTCGAACAATATTTGAACAAATCTTGTTGTGCAGATTCAATACAGATTCAGTCATAGCTACGACTCTTGTCGGTAAGAATACTCTCTTGTCGGTCTCTTAGCTTCTTTGCATTTCGGAATCCTTTGGCGAGTCGGGTACAGTCAGAGTACTCGTAATGTTTTCTCAAGGTGCGGACATGTATGATGAACTTCACAGGGATGATCCAGAGAACGCTTTCGGTGGTTTGAGTGTTGGAGTGTTGGGGGCACTTGCATCGCTTGCATCGCTTGCATCACTGGCATTCCTTGCCTATCTGTGAGCATGACAATCGTGAAGACAAAGGTCTACTTGCAAACGCAGTAGCTGCTCATGTTGCCGGTGGGCAATCGCGGAAGACCCTATCCTGAAATCAAGCACGGCTGTAAAGCTAGCAAGACTCCCAAATATGGGCTGGGCAAAACAGAGCAGCCGCTTGAATTCGGCAGGCTATGGCTATAGTGTCTAGAAATCAGGTGAGGAGCTGACGATCAGCTGAGAATCAGTTTCCTCACTTCATCAGCTTCACTGCAGGAAGCTCTGGAGTTTATGAGTCGTGCTTCAACGCTGCATTGCTTTAGTCGATGAGGGCCGGTTGAAAGAGGCTGAGGCCTGTGAACGCACTGATAAATTCACCCGTTGCTGAAGTTACTGTGCCTCTTTGCCTCGTCTCATGGTTCCCTCTTTTCAGGCGCAGGCTATGCTCGAGCCAAGCAGCTCTGCACTGAGGAGTTGGTCCAGGTCAGCAGCTAAACTTTGCTAAACAGCTAAACTTGTTCTGAAACCTGATATGACCTAACAAGGTTCCATAAAGTCAGCACCTTAACCTGATGGACCCTGATGGAACCAGTTCTGAACCTTGCTGAAACGTCATAACACATTGACTAAATATTGAAGTGTCTCCGGTGCTAACCCCTCTGAGTGTACCGCAGGCCAAAGATGCAGCAGAAGCTTTTCTGCGAGCTTCTGAGCTGGAGGCCAGTCTGTTCGCTGGAAGCATCACTTAACATGCTAAAACCATAATGTCATGAAACCGTGCTTTGATTTCTTTTTTTAATCTTGACGGCAGCCGTCGGTCTAGCCCGTAGCCTAATGAAACCATGCTAAAACAATGTTGAATTGAGTCAGCAGAGCAGTCTGTAAATCCATGATTGTGCTTTTCTGCTAGCCAAGACGCAACTTGACCTTTAGGACTAGGACCATGAAGAGCTGGCTGCCATCAACGTGCAGGAAGCCCCAGAGTCTTAATTTACGAGATAGACAGGATACGAAACATGCATCGTCACAGAATTCTATGATCATGTTGATGCGCATTCAGTCACTCAACGTCTCCTTGCAGCAGATCTTAGACAGTCCCTTTGGCAGAAGTCAGTGCCAGAGCGAGGTGCGTCTTGCAGCGATGTGGCTGAGATCAAGGGGAATAAGATCAAGGGAAAGGAGTTGAAGGGAAATGAGATCAAGGGAAATGAGATCCAAGTGAATGAGAGCAAGGGAAATGACATTAAGGGGAATGAGATCAAAGGGGAATGAGATCAAAAGGAATGAGATCAACGGGGAATGAGATCAAACGGGACTGATCAAGGGGAATACAGTAGTCTGCCTTATCAGTGGTGTTTCAATGCTATTCGTGTTTATTTGTGTGGTGCAGTTGTACTGTGTTTTGCACTCCTGGGCTGCGGGAATAGCTAAAGCCGGATCACGAAATGCTGTGATTTTTCGTACAAAGTGTGTCGGATGGGCCATTGAAGGGAGGTTCGTGTTTGCGGCGGGTGCGGCTGGCTTCGGGCCAGGCTTTATTCGCTTCATCAGTGGCGTTTCAACGTGTTTCGTGTTTGTTTGTGTGTTGCAGTTCTTTAGTGTTTTGGGAATCGTGGGTTGCAGAACTCATTGGAATAGCTGTGTGCAGGATCAAGATGTATAGTAGCCTGACCTTTTTTTGGACGTGGGTGTCGGTGCCTCGGTGTGTCATTGCAAGACACGAGCAGGATTGACAACAGCCAATAAAGTATGTACTAGAGTACGAGGTCTTGTGTTAATTTTTTTTGGTCATTCTCCTCCAACTTGCCTCTAAATTCTCCTTTCTTCGAGACCTCAGTGTGCAGGGTACTTGATGAATTGAACCGATCAGATTCAATGATGCATGGCACGCCGATGAATCGCAGCTATTTTTACATTTACCTTTGTTTGACTCCCGCGTGGACAACAACCTGTTCAAGACTCTTGGATGCATTTTGCGACGATTTTCTTGAGAGGAGCTACCAAGGTGTGGAGGCCGAGTGTGGAGGCAGCACCCTGCAGCTGTTGAAGTCTTTGATATGAAATATGTTCGATTGATTGCAGGTTGTCGTCGATGGTGTATTGTGAAGATGGCATGGTGAGGCTATGGATCATAGGTTAGAAGAGTTCCAAGACTCTGACCGAGCTTCAGGATCCACAACCATTTCTCTCGAACTTGGGCGGTATTCACCCCAACTTTCTCACTCTCTGCAGAGACCTTTTTCTCCAAACAAAAATCCACCGCACACCTCCTGGGGGGTCACTTGGTCCGTTACGGACCGGGTCAACCTCGTTCGGGGGAACTTCTGTGCTGGGGGGGGTGTCTACCCCCCCAGGATGCTCAGCGAGATGGACGTGCCGAGGAGGGCCGGGTGTTTGCAGCGATTGGGAGTTGGGAGTTCTGTGGAGTCCGGGTGCAAGGTCGGAGGTGCGCCAACAGTCGGGTCAAAGCCATCGCAGATCTCACTCGATGGTGGAAGCTCGAGGGTAAATCTGTCCACACACCATACGAGGTCGACCCTTGGGCCGATACACGCGGATACTGTGTCGGCCCTTGCTCCATGGATTCGCGGTGGTGCTCCAAAAGCGGCTCAAGAGTTCGTTTTCTCATCGAAACCGAACGGACCACCTCGGTAATCCTACGACGTAGAGTGAATGGGTCAACCAGGGTTCTGCGGCAGCACCAGTGGTTGATCCACGACACCGGTCTGGTGGACGAACAACGAAGACACAGATGACGCACGAAAGATACACACATGGAGGATGCACGTATGAAGGAGGGATGCACGAAAATGATCCCAAAGCACCTATACAACATAAAGTTTGCTTCCAAGACTTTAGATCATGAATCATTGGTGTATAGACAGATTGAACCTCCATCTATGTGTAGACCAACCCCTCAGCAGCAATCGCCTCCCCTCTTTGCGTTCTTTCTTTTCAGCGGAGTCTTGGGGGGTCAGACCAACAGGACCATGCGCCGTCAAAAGCAAGTGTCTTCGAAGGCGGGCAGTCTCTTCAGCGAAGAGGGCCGAAGAGGGGCGGAAGCACCATCAGTGCCACGTGGCGGCCCACGTAATAGGCTAGAAACATGGCTTGCTGGCCACACGGCGGCCAGACCTCAAGTGAACGCCAGACCGATTTGCGAGCTGTTTCGGCCGCAAACTGGTGTTGGGTCGGGGCCCAGCCTCTCTTTTCCTCGTCCTCCTCCGCCGTTCGGGCCGCTCGGACCTCGTCCGGACCGGACCTCGTCCTGACCGGTCCGGATGCACGGTGCACCGGGAGAAGACCCACGAAAACCACACCCCCAGCGCCATTTTTGCCCCAAAGGCAGCGATCCGACACGTGCCATAAAGGTGGAAAGGCATGTAAAGAAGGGTCTTTTGAGGTGGCCGAGAAGAGAAACACTCGAAAAGACGGCCATTCAGACATATTCAGACCGACCACGGTGAATGGTCTCAGGCTGAGCCAGCGGAACAACCACAGAGCCACTTGGTGAGAGGGAAGATGGATGAAGATGGAGATCATTAATTACTGAACTGGGTATCTACACCAAACTGTCACCAAACACTCTGCTTTTTTTGTTATTTTAAAACGTTTTGGACAGCGAAGGAGGTCATCCCCCACGCGCGGTTGGGGATGACCGAAAGCGCGGAAGGATGTCATGATGTCATCTGCAGTTTTGTGGATGTTACGCCCGATGGTGAGCATGATCCTGGGATATTTCGGGTCTGCTTGGATCTAGGTGTCAGGGTGCACTCCACCGCCGTAAGACGCCTGGAAAAGTCTTTCCACATTCGTTGGGGTGGCATTCCATCTTCTGTTTGGATTTCTGATGTTTATTTTTCATCAGCAGATTGGATGGAGTCTTCCACATTCGCATCCACGGAAGGTTCCGTGTGAAAAACCACGCGATTTCGTGATGGAGCTCTCTGGAGGTGTACGACGTGGACGACCAGTCTGGCAGATAAACGCTTTTTGCCCGACTAGTTTCGCAGCCAGGAGTGTATCCCCAAAGTCACTAAGGGTGCCAGGTTGGCATTGAAGTTCTGTTGTCATCATGAGTCATGTGGCTTAAACTGAACCTCCAAACTCTCTGGACTTGACTTTCGAGGGTATGTCATGTGCGCTGTCTCTGCGTCTGTGTTTCTGGAATCTATTTTGTTGGAAGACTTGGAAATCCATGTGGCTGCTGCTCATGTGACTGAGGCGATGCTGAGACTGAGAAGGACTTTGAATTCATCACAGGTGCAGCAAACTGCCGCAAACGGAAACCATTGGCGGAAGGGAGCAACTGGGAACTCGTCAAAACGCTCCGTGTTTCACGGTTTTCCATTAACACCTATACTAATACTATATATAGGCACCTTCTCCAAACCAACGCAATCGATCCCCAGGTCTCTGGAAAAAAAAAAGAGCATTTCTTCTATTCAGTGGGTGGTCCGTTGGCAGACGGAGACCATGAGGAGGTTCCGAAAGCGATGAACGCACACAGTGCCCAAATCCTTGAAGAGTGACACCGCACCTTTCACGGAAACAGGCGGAAACACTCAGGACAGGAGCAAACGGTGAGACATATGAAAAAAAATCCGCGGAAGAGACGCGAAGCCCAAAAGTGAACATTTGTGGTGTCTTCCAAAGGTGTGTGTCTTCCAAGGATCGCCCAGGTTTTGACGGAAGGGAAGAAAAAACAGCTGTCTTGGACTCTGACAGGTCACCCATGGTCACCCCCAAAGCAGGAATATATTTACTTGAGAATACGGCCTATACCGTGGTCTCGTTGCGCCTCCACCTGTACGTGGTTTCGTTCCCTGGATCTGGATCCATGTTCCTCGCTAGGCATTTCCTCTTTGCATCACATGGCCGATGAGGAGGAGGTGCTTTCTGGTGCCTTGGCGAACATGAGAACTTCCTGTTTACGGAGTTGCCTGATCTTATAAAGTAGCTTGGAGAAAAATGGCTTGCCAATGAGATCCAATGAGCATCAACATCAGCAGATGTCCAAAGATTCTCGAGTTATTCAATAGTCCAACCGACTCTGAGAGGCAGCAAGGAATTAAAAGAAGCATCGGTCATTTTGTTGTTGTTCTTCTTCCTTCTTCTTCTCCTTCTTCTTCTTTCTTTCTCTCTCTCTCTCTCATACACACCTAGATCTTCCAACTATGCAACACTTATGTTTCTGCCTTTGGGCTTAGTTTTTTGATGAAAAGGCAGACATTTGCAGAGTTGGAAGACCTCGGCCAAAATGAAATTGCCCCACACCAGTAATCGACCCCAGTTCGATCAGCTCACGCCGGCATCCTGCGCGCGTCCGGACGTGCGGGTCCTGCGGAGCAAGCAGGTGAAACATCGCAGGTTGAGGCGCTGACACAGCCTGGGGCCTGGTTTGATGTAGTTTGGGGGGATTTGCATGTGGATGGCAGACATACCAAGATGATGTTCCGAAGGCCAAACGTTTGAGGTGAACTTCAAACAAATGTCACTGGCGGCCCTGTCGGCTGACGCGTAGATCTGTGTGGTTCCCATGGCGGACAAATTTCTTTTGAATGTTTCGACTGTGCCCCGGCGTTCTTCGAAATGGCTGTGAGTCAATACCTGGAGCCCAATCCCTGGTAGGTTGATCTCCCTATTCTCAACCAGGGTACCCTGATGGCATGACCCGCAGCCAAATCAACGGCTGCACCAGTGGATTTGAACCGAAGACCGTCACAGGACTGGTCATACCCTCGTCCTGTTCGTGCCCGGCAGCTGTCATCTCGTTCATGAAGATCATGAAGGGACAACTAGCCGAGAACTGGATTTTGTGCCGTTGCAGAAGAAGGAAGCAAAAGGTTCAAACTTTTCTTACGAGGCTAGAATCTACTAATTGATGTTTTCGCTTTCTGTCATGTACTGTACGCATGCTAGCAGTGTAGCTACTCACAGACTCACAGCTAAACCACCACACCATTTTGCATCACAGACCGCCATGGAAACCGAACTCCACCGACCGTCTTGACGCCGGCCATGTTCAAGGGCAAAAGTCTGGCGGTCTTGGCTTCGGTCCTCGTCACTGTGACATGTGTGGTGATCTACTTCGAGTGGAGAGCCGTCCAAGAGATTCCCAAAAGCTTCGTAAAACTGGAGCTGAAGAACTTGCTGCAGAAGGGCCGTCATGCGCTGCTCCATCGGATGATCGCCTCGGGCTTCCACCGCGCGGCCGCGCCGGCGGCAGCGGAGCCGGCCGCGCCGGCAGCGGCAGTGGAGGCATCGAGGGTGGCTCTGAGAGGTGCAGGGCCTGCGCCTGCAGGGGAGGTAGGATCGTTTTCGGCCGAAAAACAGTGGTCCAAGAATGGGAGGGGTGTCATGTCTTCAAAATCATTGGGGCTTTCATAACAATAGTTAAACTTCGGTGGCTTTCATTCATTTTGCTTCCAACAGTTTTATTGGGGGCATTTGATGGTTTGCACTGAGTTTTGGTGCAACAAGTTCCCGAAAGCACCATCGGCCGCCAGGTGAGTGGGCTTACCGCCAGCTTGGCGCCTCATCCCTCGCTTTCCACGGGTTTGCCCAGCTTCCCGACGCCAAGGGAGGTGAGACATGCCAGCTGTTTGCACGACTACGAGATGTCGAAGTGGCCTAGAGCTTCTTTGGTGATCCCTTATCTCAATGAGACCTGGGAGCACATGAGCCATGGCCCGACACAAAACGACCAATGAAGAAACCAGTAAGACACTCAGTAGACCTGACGTGCGGACGTGGGGACGTGGGGGTGTGGACCGGACGTGGGTTGAGTGACCTCCCCGGAAGTTGTTGTTGAGTGCATGCTTATAGGCTTTTCGGCAAGACCCTAAGCCTACAATGATTTACTGCAGAGGTACCCAGGTTACATGTACAGAAGACGTAGGCTCGAGCTTTGCTTTTACTTACAAATGCCCGTAGAGGTAGAAAGATGCGTTCATGTTTTGTCGTTGTCGTGAGTTGCTTGCTTTTGTGCCCCGTTACCAACTCACATTCGAGTTGGTAGCGGAGCACCTGCTTGCGATCCAGGTTTGCTCCCTGTGTTGGTTGCACCGCGCTGGGAAAGTTTTCAACGGAGGGATTGGCGCAGCTTGCTGCGTGAAGCGTGTTCTGGCCTCTTCAAACGAATTCATGTGCATCAGAAAGAGCAGAGACAGCTTTTCCGCTTGGTGACGAAGGCCACCTTGAGATAGGCCGCAGTCTTGACGCGAACAGCGCTTTTGTTCGGTCGTTGATGAAGTACCGGTTTGCGAAATCCATCTTGAGTACCGGTTTGCGAAATCCATCTTGCGTTCGGTTGTTTTTGTGTGCCATGAGCCACGTGGCGCGGCAGCAATTTCTCCGGATGCACTCAGTAGCACAGGCATTGATGCGGGTGATTTATTGGACGGTATTTTCACTTGTGTTGATGCAGCAGTTTTGACAGCACAGCGTGTTGACATGGTTGACATTGATTGTTTCAGTGCTGACCTTGTGAGCCCAAACTCTGCGCGTGTTGTTGCGCCGTCTCCATCATTCTTGCAGACCAATAGGTCAGAGGCACCTGAATGTGGATTAGCGACAACTTCCAATGAAGCGACACATTTTGTGTCTACTGGTGACGAGTTGGAGTGCCATCCATGAAGTTCTTGCATATGAAAACGATTGGTTCCCGGACACGTGCAGTGATGATTGTGACCTTCTTGCATACGAGCGCGAATGGTTTCCGGACCTGTGCAGTGATGACCAGTCTTGCAAAGACGATCTCGCTTCAACCGTGTTGACAACAGAGCGTCTTCAACAGCACCAGTCTTTTGACCCTCAAAGTGTGACCACTGGGGCTGTACCCGCCCACTCGACAGAACTTGACGAAGCCCTCGAGGCACGCTGCTTTGCAGCCCAGGCGGGCCAAAGAAGCCCTGGAAGAGCGGGCCAAAGACGCCGCAAGGCCACAGGTGGTGGCGCAATACATTTTAAAAAAACGGTGACGAAACAGACGAGGATCTCCCCCTACCACCACCTGCGGCCCGTTCTGCGCCGGAATCAGTCCGAACTTCTCCTTTAGGTCACTCACCCGCGCGCGATCAGTTTTGTACGGGGGACCCCACCATCAAATGCGATTTTGACAGGAAGAGTAGATCATGCCACATGGCCTATCATTTGATGGAGGAGAGACCCTCATTTTTTCAGATCCTCTGCTTGAAGATGTGCTCACCCACCTGTTGTTTTTATGACCAAGTTCTGATTTACCAACCTGATGTGATTGACGCTGATACAATACACACACACACACTACCGTACACACCGTGCCGGTCAGGAGGAACTTGAAGCCAGCCCAGGTACTCTTGTTCGTGCCGTCGCAATCCTGTCCACCCGCAAGTCAGGTGCCTTGCTCATTGTAGGCCTCGCCACCCTTGTCCTTGCATCAGCTCAAGAGCATTCCTTGCAAGACGAAACTTCAGATATGTCACTGCACAGTCATTCGGCCCTCAAGCTTCTGAGCAGTCCGGGCCGTGTCCAAGTGATGGCTGCAATATTGACAGGTGTTGTCTTGATGTCCTTGGTGGGTTGCATGATGCACCAAGGCGCAAATGCACTCAGGACTCCACCAGGCTGGGGACCCGAACAGGAGGCCAGCTACTCTTTCCGGCAATGGAGTCGGGACGTGTTGCTCTGGTCCATAGCCAGCGACTTGGAACCCGCGCGCAAGGCGGCGTGCGTTATGTTGGTTCTTCGTGGGGCGGCTAAAGAAGTGGCCCGACAGATTCCCCCCAAGCCATAGTCCAGGGCGGTCAAATCAACAATGTGATGGTTGACCCATTGACGTTCTTAATGCATGCCCTCCAAGAACGGTTTGGGAACCTAGGGGAGGAAGTTCGAGCGCAGTCAGTAAATGAGTTGATGGGCTTCCAACGCCGAGGTAACGAGCCGATCGATTCTCTCCTCGTTCGTTTCGATGCTATCCGAGCAAGATCAGCGGAATTGGGCGGCGCTATCATTTCGGTGCAGGGGGTAAGTTGGTTGCTCCTCCGAGCAATAGGGATCACGGACACACAACTCATACAACTCCTCACACCGTTCGGAGGACTGTTCCCAAGCACAGAAGCCGAACTCTCGCAGCTGAAGACGGCCTTGCGCCGGATGGGACACATCATGGAAAGGGCCCCTGGAAACCTGCGTGAGGGTTTGCGGGGTCCACCACATGCAGGGCAGACGGCTTTTCTTGTAAGAGAACATGATGATGGCAACTGCTGGCCACCAGACGCATGGCACTCGCAGGACTACCCACAACACGACTACCAGGATGCTTGGCAGCAGCCCCAGCCTCCTATGGCGGAACAGCCGCATTTCATGCCAGTGGCCATGAATATGTGGAGCATGAAGACACTGATCTTGTTTTCTTGGAAGAAGACATCGCAACAGACTCAGACACCAGTAGTGGCCAGGAGCATGTAGATGATGACTTCCCTATGGGGGACCCCCACCGTGTGGCCCAAGAATTGTTTTGAGCTTACAAACAAGCCAAAGGCAAATGGAGACGTTTCATGGGGAAGAGCAACAGAGTTGTTCGCCGCCATGTGAAACGCTTTCACCGAAAAGGTAAAGGAAAGGGATCAAGAAACACACACCATGCTCATCTTGCCAAGGGTAAGCAAAAGGGGAAATCAAAGTCTGCTACAGCTCTCTTCGCCGAGACAATGACAGTGACATCAGACAACTGTTCCCCGCTTTCCATGGAAACAGAGCCAAAGCAAGTGGCAAAGGAAAAGGGAGACGTGGAAATCCACGTGGCCCTGACGGGGTGCAAATGAGGTGCTTTGAATGTGGGTCGACAGAACATATCTTGCCGGTAGCTGCCCACGCAGAGCAGCTGGAGGAGGAGCAGCGGCCACCACATTTTACGCTCAGAATGGCACTCAGTCACAGGACTCAGAAGGCCCACTGGCCGGATTAATCGGTAGCGCATCAAGATTGCAGCGCCCCACCACATCAGATGGCGCAACATTCGTCGCTTCAAGCAGTCCATTGCTATTGCTGCCTAATAGTTCTGCCCCGCAATATTACATGGTAAATGAAGTGGATCCCAACATGCCAGAAGCAGTCCAGACGCAAGATCCCTTGCAAGCAAACGACCCATGGGGCAGAAGCCAAGCTTCGTCAACGCGGTCCATGCCCACGTCAGCGCCAAGGAGTTACGGCCCTGCCAGGACTCAAGCATCTTCGTTCTTTCCAGAGTTCATCACTAGGGGTTTTCGGAGACAGCAGGAAACCATGTCCGAACCACCAATGCATAACCCCCCCAATGGTGACAACATCCGCTTCTAGTGCAACCCCACGTACTGTTGAAGAGATGTCACATTTTCCACCAGAACCAGAACGATCACCACCGCTGCCGGGTTCTGCGTTTGCGCGCCGAGGCCAAGCAACTTTCGAAGCGCCGCCGCCATCCGTCGAACTGCCAAGACATCAGCCTCGCGCGCAAGCCAGCCATGATCAGACAATGGCGTGGGCCAACATGGCCAACATGCCAGAGGAACTGAGGCAATTGATGCCGTGGCCGGTGTTTGCACCACCACCACAAATCCCCGCGTTTGCGCAGCTGCCGCAGATTGAGTTTCTAGGTATGACTGAGCCACCTGACTTGCCTTTGCCTGAGACACTGCGCATGCCACAGCGATCCACATTGGAAGGACCCCTCAGAGGTCAAGTAGAAGAGTTTTTTCCAAGCGCAGCGTCAAGTTCAGCAGATGAAGCGTGAGCATGTTCGTGTGCCAAACATGCCACAGCCAGTGCAGGTACAATCCCAAGTGGATCCTCAATTTCGACCCGAATTGCAGGAGCTTCACCAAGCGCAAGTGTCCGCAGAGCAGCAAAGACACGAAAGGAAACAGCAAAGACGCCATCAAGCGCCTGTGCAAGCTGCTATCGAACATGATTTCGATGGAACAGCCGATAAGTGTATGTTGTGCCAGGAGTTGTTCTCAGCCGGTGATGCAGTGCTTAGATTGGTTTGTCGCCATGTCTATCACGTCACTTGCTGGACGAACTTCATGATCCATGGAGAGCGGTTGCACTGTCCCATGTGCCGTGGTATAGTTGCCAGATACAACATACCTCGCCCAGGTGTTCGGCCAGATCCTGAAGCAGAACCAGAGATGCAGACACCCGTCACCACGCCCAGGTCAGGGCTCACTGGTGAACGGTTCAACATTTTCACGCCACCTCCCAGGCACACCAGGGAAGAGGGGGAAGGAACACCTGTCTTTTCTCCGGAAGCAACCTGTGATAGCCATGCTGGAGTCTTCAGAAATAAACATCATAGAAATCATAGGAGAAGATTGGTCCAACTCATCTTTCATCCAATTGCTGCATAGTGGAGAGGCAGCCTTGCGCGAAAGCTTAGACGCTGTCGAGGCACAGTTGGGTGAGGATGCAGTAGGCAGACTCATCGTCTCAGATGCTCAACCGGAAGCCGAGGGGTTGTCAACCATTCCTGAAGGAACCCACGAGGACTAGATCACCGATCAAGACGAAGATGTGTTTTTTCGCAGCCTTTGTACAGAAACACTTTGACCCGCCCTCAACTCAGGAAGACATCGATGATCTAAGAAACCTCTGGTACCTGTATCAAGACACCGCATCAACCCATCTAGAAGAAACACCAATAGAACTACCAGTCTTCAGCCCGATCTACGCGCACCCAGAAAATGAGTGGACACAGGTTGAAAGTATACTGGTAAGCCTACATGACCTCCCATCCTTAGATCCCCACGAAGCATTCCTCACAGAAGTGATGATCGAACCTGAAATGATAAGTTGTTTCGGAAACCCTGAAAAGCTCAGACCGGATGAGACGTATGCAACTCGGATATACCAGGCCACTAGCAAGGTAGAAGTTGTCAAGCGAGCGTCCGACATCCTCACTGAAGAAGAAATGATCACACACCGCAAGGAAGTGGACGCTGCAATTCTTGAAGAGCTCAGAATTTGGAACAATTATGGTTGTTTTAAACTGGTCCCCCGGAAAGGTGCTTGCAACGTAATTGATTCTAGATTTGTCTCAAAGTGGAAGGTAAAAGATCCGTCTCGTCCGTTCGAAAGCCGTATCATCCGAACGAGAATGACTCTTAGGGGGTTCAAGGAATGGTGTGCGGACATGCTGGACTCGCATGCAGCTACGACAAGTCGGTTATCCCAACGCAGTTTAATTTCCGAAGCCGCCTGCCACCCAGAATGGTCCTTCTTGTCCGTAGACATCAATAAGGCATTTTTGCAAGGGGTAACGTACGAAGAAATGTCAATGGCCACTGGTGAAGAGGAGCGTGTGGTTCATTTCACACTCCCGCCAGGGGCTGCAACATTCCTCCGTATGTTACCAGGCTTTGAGCAGTACGACGAGCGTCACCATGTTCTTCGGTGTGTCAAAACAGGAACTGGATGTTAGCATTCCAAGTATAGGACTCACACCAATTTCCACTGACCCTGAATGTGAAGTAAAACACAGAGACGGAAAGCTGGTGCTGATCATCGCAAAACATGTCGATGACCTCAAAATTGCAGGTGAAGAGGCAGAGGCAGAAGTTCGACGATGATAATTTCACATGTGTTGGTGTACACCATGCACGTGACCCAGAAGGCTCAATCATCCTCGACCAACACGAATACATAGGCGCCATGAACCCTGTTAGACATCCCGACCTGACTGGGAGTGACGCTAATGGAGACTGTTCGGAAGCAGTCACTCGACTGTTTTGGTCACTTCTGGGGCAGTGGCATACACACTCCTCACTCAACACTGGATCTCAGTGTATGTAGTGGCACTCCAGAGAAACACGCACTGCCCTAAATACCACCACGTTCGAAAGTTGAATTCGTTGTAGTCTTGCAGCAGCAGAAAACCACGATTCGGTTCCCCGTCACGCAGTGCTCCCAACACATCATGACATATTCAGACGCATCCTTTCGTAAAGAGACTGAGTTTAAAGGATATGGTATGAGAGGCACTGTGATACTTCGTCTTGGAAAGCACAAAGGGGTGGACATCTGCTTGATTCAGCGCGCAGCACATTTTCATCTGAGACGTTGGCTGCTGTTGGATCAGTAGATGGCATGATCCCAATCATGATAGCCATGGACGAAATTCTAAAGGGACCCTATTCAGCTGACATGTTGAAACAGGCTCGTGAAAATTCAGAATTCGCATTTGATTCAACTCTTGTGATTGACGCTATGAACTCACAACACGAAAATTGCCCAGTGAGAAGTCTTTGTATCCACACCTGTGGTGGCTTCGGAACATAACAAAATGCGCTCCTCGTCGCCTTCGGTGGTGTGATACACGAGATATGTTAGCCGACCTTTGTACTAAAGGCTCGGTCCACAGAGGTCCACTCTTGAACGCAATGCCAGGATCATATCTCTTTGAACAAGACTTTAAAGATCATCTCTTTAAGAGACCGAGCAATCCAGAACAAACTTCGATTTAGCACACGGTCCGCGTACACCTCACACACACACACCTTTTGTTTTCCCAAATGTCACTATGAGCACACCCGACTGTAGAGGTACCCAGGTTACATGTACAGAAGATGTAGGCTCGAGCTTAGCTTTTACTTACAAATGCCCGTAGAGGTAGAAAGATGCGTTCATGTTTTGTCGTTGTCGTGAGTTGCTTGCTTTTGTGCACGTTACCAACTCACATTCGAGTGATTTAGTCATAGTAGCCACAGGGCTTGTAGTCATAGTGATAGGCTGTACCTACAGCCAAGACCTTTGGACTTGCCGATGCTGCGGAGTTGGAGTAGCGGATGGTTGCAATAATACGGATGCGGGAGATGAACTTCCAGGCTGGAAGAACTCCATTTGACTCTCATCATTATCCTCATTATTATTGCAGCCCCTCAGCTTGCCGGTGAGTCACTCTAGCCCTAGCCGGCTGGTGTTTTTGTCATTCCAACTAGCCCTCGTGAGTGGCTTAATTAGCCTTCGTCCTGTTCCTTTTCGTCAGACTGCACCCGTTGCCACCTTGCCGCCACGTGAGGAGTGCAACCGTTTCTTCCCTCGTGGCCCACAGTCCGTTGGAGCTTGTGGATCAGATCCTCTTCATTGATGATGGCAATGCACCTGAGTGGCAACATCATGAGGAGCTCTTGGCATTGCTTATAACGAGTTGTTTGTTGTCAGCCCTGGTGTTTCTCCTTTCCTGCTTCGTTTTCTCGACTCTCTCCACACATCGCTCGCGTCCGTCCTCAGGAGCTCCTCGCTTTGCATCCCAAGATACGTGTCCACCGGAATGAGCTCCGCCAGGGCCTCATCCGTGCGAAGGTCATCGGTGCTGCGATGATACAGAGTCCAGTGCTCATCTTCATGGAACCGCATTGCATCGTCTCACGGCAGTGGCTGGAACCACTCTTGGAGCAACTGGCCCTTGCAAGAGACCACAAGACCTTGGTGATGCCCACCCTAGAGACCTCACCTGACAAAGTCCAGTTCTTTTGTTTTCAGGCTTGTTTCAAAAAGTGATCTAAGTACACTTCTTCCTCCTTCTTGCACTTCTAACGCTCGCTTCAAGAACTCCAGTGGGTTTAGTGGGTAAATTCCACTGAGGACATCATTCCCGAGAACAACTTCAACCAGTATCTTCCCGCCAATCACCACATTGGCGGCTTTGATTGGACGTTGTCCTTTGGATGGAAGGAGCTGATTGAGAAGCGCAACCTGTCCTACGTCTATCCGGATCCTTATCCCACCCCTGCACTCTCAGGAGGTATCTTCGGGATTTGGAAAGACAACTGGGAACACATGGGCACCTATGACACCAATATGACCGAGTGGGGAGCCCTGGAGAAGTTGAGTAGCTTGATTTGTAGCTTTTCTAGTGATGTGGTGACTTGATTGACGGTCTTTGGGACTGGTTGGACTCAAGACTATTGCATGGGGGCTCCTCCCCATTTTGAGAGACTCCCATAGAACCAAAACAAGTCCTTTGAGTTGTTGGGGGATGGGCATTCCGCATCTCTCCAACCGCTAGGCTTGACAATTTAGATTTTGGTATCATAGGGATCTTTAAAAGCCTCTTGAGATTCAGTGAAGACAAGACATTGCAGGTCGGGGACATGAAAACAACGTTTACAATCTGTTTCTGGATCATTTCGATCCATTTTCCCCTTCTGTGCTTTCGTTTATTGAACGTCTTCCACCCGGGTGAGCTTCTCTCCGATGTCCATCCAAGGAGGAGAGCACATCGAGATGTCGCTGCGCACTTGGCGCTGTGGGGGTCGCATCCTCGTCGTGCCCTGCTCCCGCATGGGGCATGTCTTCCGAGCCAAAAACCCTTACGTGGTCCATGTACCTGAGGCAAGGCGCGGTAAGACCGAGCGGGAAGACTTGGGAAAGACTTGGGTTGACCAAGTGACAAAGTGATTCTAGTTATTTTCTTCAAGGCTTCCACTCCCTGAAATAACTATTCAAGTGGCAAATGGTCCCTTGGATGGCAATTTTTCCTTTGACCAAACCAGGTGGTTTTCACTCTACTTCCATGATTAGTTTTCCGAGTGAAGAACATTCTTAAGGCTTCAGTTCTTAGTATTACCACTGACATGCCTTTCGGGGACATTCATTGGACTCCAAAAACTGCCAACAGATGTGAAATGAGGGCCCCAGGCGGTGTTCGACTTCAGGTGATGAAGAACACCAAGCGCGCGGCCCTGGTGTGGCTGGATGAACACCTGGAGGATTACTACAAGAAGGTGCCCTATGCCAAGCGCATTGAAGCAGGGGATGTTTCAGAGCGGATTTACTTGAAGAAGCAATTGCAGTGTGAATCCATGGATTGGTATATAGACAATGTCTATCCAGAGCTTCGAGCAGAGCTCAGCACCAAATATTGATGGCGAAAAAAGAACAGAGCAGGCTGCTGGGACAATCTAGCAGAAACGAGTCACATCTCATCGATTGGCTAAAGGCCACTAAAAGGGACCTTGATCATTCACAACTAGTGGGGGATATGTGGGCATCTATCCTATCCAAGATCAGACAACTAGTTACTAGTTGTAACGTCCATGATAGTGCATAGTCTGCATAGTTGTACGAAGATACTCAAGCAGATTAGCTGTGGAACAGTCTCCAACTGCATGGTTGTGATGATTCATGGTTGTTTTGGCGTAAGATATCCTATGATGAAACATGAAAGTCATGGGATTTGCATTTTTTCGCTCATCGGATTTCATCGCTCGAAGAAACAGAGGTGCCATCCAGCCTTCCTGGTACGGTGGAAAAAACAAACCCCTCCCTCCAGCTCACCGTTCAGAACGTGGCTAAAACATGAGGGTTTCCTCATATTTCCTGGATAACATTAAGCTTGGAAAAGGAATGATTTCCTAATAAGGCATATCCCTGGTCGTTTCTTAAGCAAGTTCAGTCTATGGTATACTGGCATCGAGCCCTCTATTAGATCACTGGCTCCAAGTGTACCCCATGGCATCACTTCAAGCTCGCTATTGACATCTCAGTCCTCAAAACCCCAAGTAAGAGGAGTTTCCAGCCTAGTCCCATCATATCGCTACCATGGCTGATACCTCCCTTTTTGGCACCTCCAAGAAGCGTCCACGACGTACCCTACCTCTCCAAAAGCCATCGCAAACCCGGAAGAGCCCACCCCGAGTCGACTCGGAGACACGAATCATTCGGCACGACGTTCATGGCCTTTGAGGACTTCACATGTTCAAGGCAAACGACCAACCTAGGTATTCACTCACTCCACTAAGCCACTGGTATGAGCTTTCTCTTGTGTAGATGTCGCCCAACCCACTGGGACCTGTGTCTCGACCTTCCACGAGCCGGTGACTGAGACCGTGGACTGCTGCCCGGAGACCGAGTCGTTGAAGTTCTGCCTGTTCTCACTGCCACCAGGGAAATGGTCCAAGCCTCTTCAATGGTTGAAGTGGTTGAAGGGCCGTGGTGAAAACCACCTGGTTTTGGAGGCGATATTTGCACACTGGACGGATTCGAGGGACTTTGCCTGGTGTTGAGGTTTGCATGTGGATACTCCATCTGAAAGAATGAGCTTTAGTTTTGGTCCAGAGGGGTAGCAGGCGTGCCTGAATTGGATGTTCGACCAGCCCCCCTGTTCGGGCCCGCGAGTGGTATTTCTTGTGAGGATGGGAGGTTGTCCTGACCCCTTTTGTCGCTGGCCTCCTGCCTTGCGTTTCCCTGCATTTTTTTGGTATCTCTTAAAGGGGCTGCGAGGTGGTGCTGATGCGCCGTGGTCGGCTTGGGTCTCCGCGGCTCTCCCCTTGCGTTTCCCAGCAACATGCGCATATCCAGACTATATCCAGACTATATATGTTTAAACAAAGACGTGAGGGAGCACATGCCCATGCATGGGTTTCACGCGCGTTTTAGCCATTGGACAGGCCCCTTAGGCCCGGAGCGAAATCTCTCCCTCAAGGCGACCACACTGACCGAGTGCCCGCAGTGGTTCGCTGGCGCACCAAAAGAGCAAAGAGAATCCAGGCCCAAAGGACCCTCACGCCATTTGTGGAGCAGTTAGCTTTGTAACTAACATCCGCGCGATAGCAAAGATAGACGGATATTTGCGGGTGCTCGATCAGGAGCCCTGGCACTGTGGACGAAGCCATTGAAGCCATTGGTTTGGAAAGTTAGTGATAGTCCCGCGAATCATTCCTTTTCCCTTAAAAACACAAAATCTTTACATGTGGGGTTATCCGGTCCTTTAATTCTTTTTCGTTTTAAGATTTGAGACATAGTCTTCAGATCAATATCTATGCAGAATGCAACCGATGACTGCGTGTAGAATGCCGAATCCAAGTACATTGGGCCGTCTGGAGGCCCCCCCCTACTCAGCGGTGCGCATCCATGTCCATATATTATATAGTCGTACCTAGAACCTGAATGACCTCTGAGTCTATTTGGACACCAACCACCCAAAATATGGTGTTTTCCAATCAAAACAGAGGTCAAATGGGTTCTATATAGGCTAGGTATATACTGGTATGGTTTGAGATATCATGAAGCAAAGCAAGCGCAAATATGCCATCCAGAAACCCAGCGCTCGATCGAGGGAACAAAAAAGCAAGGCTAGCAAGGCCATAGACGACCAAACAGCCATGCAGTCCACGGACACCGTTTGAAATACTTGTTAACATTATTTAGCTAATTGTTTGTTCTATCGTGCTGAGGCGCACTCCACACGCGCAGCTCGTGATGCAGCTCTCTTCTGGGGCAGCATGTACTCCCCACCAGCCTGGGGCCTGTGATGCCGCCCATTTGACTGTGCCCATTTGATGTGGGCTTGACTCCAGGCAATACGCATTTATTGCATTGATTCACGAAGATGTATTTCGGGAAGAGCATGTAAAATGTAAAGGAATTACTTATATCAATATTACATCACATCACATTACCCTTTGATTTGAGAAGAACACACACCTTTAAGTCTGCAAGACTGCAAGACAATTCAACTGTTGCTGTTTGGAACACCAGCTTCCTGTGTGCAGCTACCTGCTGCAGCCATCCGTATTTTCGTCACACTTCGCATTGTAGATGAGTCATCCGCCCACAACAAAAATCCTGTATTTCATATAGGAGAAGGGACGGATTTGATATGTTGAGGGTGAAATACTAGCTTCCCCGCACCGAAGAATGACTTCTTTTTTTCCTGTGTTCTGTGGCCCAGTGGCCCTGCTAATGGGTCTAGCTTGGTCTCAACGGAAGTATCTACTTCAGCCCGGGTTGTCCCGAGTGGTCCGGGTCCATGTCCGAGGTGCCTGCGCTGCAGCCGGCACGTGTCTTGTGTGTGGCACGGAGGCGGTTCCTGCGGCGCGTTGGACACCGGGCGCGGAGAAAGGGCCCTGCGAGGTGCATGGAAAGGTCCTGCATGTGGTTGAGAGCAGATTTGGACAAGGATGATATCTGAAGTTCTAGCAAGAGGCTAGTCATCAGCGTCTAGCCCTTGATAAGGAAAAGTCTAGGAATTCTTCCCATCCACCACCAGTCCAAAAAAACATACAAATTGAATGATGACAATCACTGATCGGAATTCTGTACCAGGATAAGACTGGCGAGAGCAAGACTGAAACTAGTTGGCCGGGTTGCAGGAACCGCACCCAGGTTCTTTTCAACTCTGAATTTACCCAGACTTGATTTAAGGGAACATCTACAGGAAACCCATTGTTTTGGGGGTTTCCACTGTAGATTTCCCCTTAAGCCAATCCATTGAGCCTTGTTTCACTTGGCTGGGGAAGGCTTCCAAGGCCACCAGCAGGGTCTCCGTAGTGACCGTTTTCGAAAAACAAATAAACACTTTACCAGACCATCACGACTCCAGATCTGGAGGGAAGAGTTGGGGAGTCCTGCAGGTACAATCGCAAGGACAAGTTTGTTGACTTTGTGGGTGAATATCATTTGGACCTCATCCAGGCGCGGTGATGTATTCAAATAGGGAGAGGGGCACCAAGTCTGCAGTATTTGTGGGGGCTTGTTTTGTGAACAGGGAGAAAGACTATTCTGGGTCTTTGCTGTATAGTCTTGCTATAGAGGTCTATGTTCAAAGATTGAGGCCAACTTATACTTGCCTATGATCCCAGAACTTGAAGCAAACAGATCCTCTTTTGGACGGAAGCACATGAGGGGTCCTGACCAACAGAATTCGTGGATCACCAATCAATTCGTGGTGACATGGGCATGCAATTCATGTGTAAGCACACCCAGAAAAGGACATTGACTCGGAAACTGACACCCAAGAACATCTACAAACCATGCCAAGAACATTTCACTTCGCTGTGCTGGTTTCACAGGTACCGTACACAAATCACACGTTGGTGTGAAGACCAGCTGCAACCAAAGGCGAATTTGTTGAGCTGGCTGTTGATGCATCCAGAGAGGTTCCTCCTCTCAGATCCTCCTTACGCCCCCAATCACATCCAGCAGCGTCCGAAGAGAAAAGACCTGAGGATTCGTGGATGAACACTACTTATACTACTTGATTCTTCAAGTAACTTGAAGAGAAATCTTGGAATACCAGACAATGTTCCAACACGCTTGGACATGTCAGCTTGGACCTTCTCAAAACCCCCATGCAGTCAGTCATAGACTCACCTGCCCGAACTTCCGTTTGGCGTGTCGTTTCTCCAAAGTTCAACCCCCCCTCCGTCCCTGGGAGAATCAAACCGCCATGCCATGCATCCCCATCGGCCATGTCATTTCTTCTCTTCACCCGTGGGAGCGCGGTGCCCTCAACGCCCCACCGCTCGGTGTTCGTGGCACCGCAACCGCGGCCGGTGCGTGCGGCACGGCTGGGAGGACTTTGGAGGGGCACCGATCATCGTGCCCCGCACGGTGGGGACTCTGAGCAGTCTCCTGGAGTACTTGCCCATGGATGGCACCTTGGACTGAGAAGCGCCGGGCGCGAGTTTTTTTTTTTAAACTTTTTAAATAGAGCGTTTGAAATGGCATGAACAAAACGCCTTGTGACACCTGTTTGGGAAGTGCCATCTTCCACTTAGAGGTCAGAACCTGGGGAAACAAAGTTGTCCAAAAGCCTCCAACAATTTGTTTTCTTTTTGCTGTAATAAACTCTGAAATAGAAAGCCTATACACATTGAACATAACACAGGAATACGATCGCATAAGATTCACACCTTCTCTCATGCCTTTTTCCTGGTTTTCTTCTGCCCTTGTTTTTCTCCATCAGAGAATCCCGGAATCTTGGTGCTGCCGGGTGGGGCCAGGAGCTCCTGACTGAGCGGGGTATCCTCCATGTCCGTCATGGCGGGTGCGAGAGGTGGTATGCCCAAAAAACCACCAAAGCATAGGGTGGTATAGAGGTGGTATGCCATCAAAGGGGTGATCCCCATTTCCCGAATAAGATCTACCTAGCACTTCCTGTCTGGGTGCCCTGTCTGGAGACCTATAAGTAGCGTAGGATTGTCCATTGGTGACCTGTTGGAAGCAGCTGGTAGGTATCATGTAGACTCTTGATTGGTAAACTCACCCATTTGAATTGGACATCGTCTTCATATGGGTTGTTTGTTAGTCAAGAGTCTACATTATATGCCGAAGCGGGGCGCTCTCAGAGGGATGCCCAGCAAAGGCAGAAGTGGGGCCCAGAGTGGTCTTTTGAAGCACCCAAAGACCTGCAAGCCTCGCAGGTGGACATGTGGGGTATAGTCTATATATATGATAATATTATCATTCTAAGATTGTCAGAGTCTCCTCAAGTTTTGACCCCTGGCCATACACTGTCAGAAGAATGACCAAGATCCATGACGAAATCGGGGACGGATATGGGGGAAAGGAGTCACGATTGAAAAAACACATTTGGAGAATCCCACGTGGGATAAAGCTTCTCAGTTTCACATCGTTTATCCCATCAAGCTCAGTTTCACACCTGAATCCGAAGATATTCTTTCGGACCTGGGTGCATTCATTATGCCATGGGGCCAAGACTTCGCTTCCCATCTCATCGGCAAATCCACTTCTCCCTCATGGTTGCACAAACTCCTGCATCAGCGTGGGGTGTGGATAGGCGTGCCAAGTACATGTTGAGTTTGTCATCCAGGCACTTTGTAGTTCCCGCAATGGCAACGTTTAGCGTTCCACACTTGGCACAATTCTTCCGAGAGAAATCTGAGCCCGACACATTGACCCCCTCCAAAAGGAACTGCAAGCACGATTTTGGATCATCATCTTCCAAACCCAAGAGTCGCCTCTTTTTTCTTCCAAACCTTCGGATGGTTTCTTTGCTTCGGTGGTTTGAACAGACCGTGTTTGGGCGTCTTTCACGGACCGACCGACACACCGGACACCGAACCGGGGAAACCGCCGTCTCGGCACCGCGGGGTGGGGTGGTGAAAACCACCGAGCGTCGGATCGGGACGCCGTTCTCCCGCCCGAGGTCTATTGGTGGTGGAGGGCAACGACATTTCGGACGACGTGCTGCGCCCCTCGACGTCGGGACGTCGTCTGTCGCGCGGTAACGTGAGGTCCCGGAGCTTCGATTGGACAGGTCCAGAGCTTCGATTCACTGGGGAACACCAGGCGCTGGTGATTTCGCAGGGAAAACAACGGGTGCATCCAGTTGTGGTTCACAGTGAACATGGGGAATGTTGCGGAAGCATCGTTTTTTAGTGCCCCACTGTGGGTGGGGGGTCAATTGCTTCTTGCAAACCTGGGCGTGTAGCGCTACAGGACACCCAACAGAACCGCTACTGTACAAGACCCACATCATCATGGCTAATTACCTGGCGATTTGGTCTCATGAAATGACAAACACCTTCAAGAACGGTCAATCTTTGATCTGCGCGCTAATGGTGTGCCAATCTCGAACCTGAACTGGCCTCAACGTTGGGCTTCCCGATGACCATTGACACTTGAGCCCTCTCCACGTGCCTTCTCGCAGCTGAGGCAAGTACCATTGCTGCGTCCCGCAGCGATTGGAGGGCGAAGCTGCTGAACAGTCCCCTTGGTCGAAGAAAGGAAACACTTTCAGAATCTCATAAGGCTACAACATCACCCAGCGCTAGCGGCGCTTCCACTCCCGAACCAGGAAGTGCGTTTCATCCCCTGCAGGTCACCTTTACAGGGGCTCGGTTTCCCCACCAAAATCATCGATCCAACAGATGGGAAAAGGGTGACCATGATTTTTCAGGAAAATAGCTCCGGGGTCAGACTTGCCTCTTGTTTCAACTAGTGCATTCCTTCCTTTGTTCGTGCCACGAAATTCGGGCGACCGGACCAGCCTGAGAGTCTTCTGACTGCGAGCGCCTAGGTTTGCCAGTGACACGGAGTTCGATATCTCGAAGGATGAGTTGGAATGTGCCCTCATGCGCTGCTGGGCTGGGCCCTATTAAATAGCTATAGTTTGTGTCGCAATAATTAGATCTACATCCGATATCATCCGATAGATTTTAAATAAATACATGATCCATGTGTTTGGTGCAAATCTAACTTACTCAGAACCTCCGCCTTCGATTTCTGGACCAAAAAGCGCTTGATGTCGGCACCGCTTTTGGGTCGACCTCAAACCTCAGACCGCCTCTGACCGCTTGGAAAACGGCCGACGCTTCACGAGGCTTTGCTCTCATGTCTGGATGCCCAATCCTTGGACTTTGTCGCGGATCCCAGATGCTGAATGTCCGGCACCTCAGAATGGCCACGGCCTCCGTGATGAGAAACAAACCGTCCCTCCGTCCGGTTTTTGGGCGGCAACGCTTCACAAAGAAGGAATTCGGTCGACACCACGGTGGCTTCAGAGGTTTCAACCTGATTTCTCGTCTCCAGAAGAATCAGACGAGGTCGTGAAGGACACAATTATATATGGTGTGATCATACTCTATCTCCTTGACTCAGGGCAACAACGAATTTGTGCATGAAAATCAACCTAAGGTTGATAGACCCACATTGAAAGCCAGCATTGAAGGGTGGAAATAGACCCACAGCAGATTGTGTTTGTCTACAGACACCGGGTGTTTGATTCCATGATATTCCATGCCAGTCTTGAGTGGACATTTCATCAATTTTGTGAATTCGACACCCTCTACAGCCGTTTTTGGGTACCACGTGGGGTGATGCAGATCTGCTTCTGCGGCACTGATCTGCAACCTGGCCTTTGATCTGCAGGTGCTGCGTGGCGGCACTCTCTATGGTGACCTCGCAGCTGAGACTGGCACGACGATTGAACACCTGCAGCCCAATGGGCCCACTTATGACAGGCCTCCGACTCCTTAGTTTCGCCTTATGTGGATCTTCCCAGCTGTATTTGCCCGTGAAACCAGGATGCATACACCGATAGCCGATAGGACGACCCCCTGGAAGAATACAGATAGACCCGAAACCATTGATATCGTGTGTGTCATACGCACTACCTGTGTCCGAGGTTATGATATCTACTTGGACAATGTATAATTCATTATAATTCTATCCCAGGTCGTTCTGAGGCGCCAGCTGCAGTGGGAATCCCACATGCAGTGGGAAGAACGGGAATCCCACCGGTGTAGGTGAGTGGGTGAACACTCCAGGAAGTCCAGGTCCAGAACCTTCAGACCTTCCTGCCCTTCCTTCCCTTCCTTCCGAATCGGATGTTCCGTCGGATGGACGATCCGGGCGCGGCGGTGCTTTGCGGCCAGTTTTCGGCATCCGATCCACGTGCACAAGCAGACGCCCTTGGCCGGATGGTTGGTGCCCTAGGGAAGGCTTCGGACGTGGATGTCCACATCAGACTCACCAGACGGTCAGTCACGTGCAGTTCATATATATATATATAGAGTAACATGTAGACAAGTATACAGGTGAAAACAAAGGATCAATACACTTGCAAATGTGAGAGTCCTTAGTGAATAGCTTGTTTATATGATTGCCTTTCCTTAGGTGAGTTTGCTTTGGAAATCGGCGCTTCAAAAAAACGTGTGCTCAAATCAAGTCCCAGGGTGCTGTTGCCCATGCATAATTTGCAAGAGAAGTTTGCTCTTGAGAATCGGGTGTGGGAAGCCATACAGTAAAAGTCTAGAGGACATTCCTAATAGACAGAGCAAGCCCGCTGTAGCTCCACCCTGCTCGACGGATGGTGCTACTCTTCTTTCAGCTGATGTACCAACACCCTGCTAATGTAGAATCTTGAATAATTAGACAACTCCCCATATGAAGAGGCTTTTGCCATCCCAATGGGGAGGTGTTTTGTGATTTCAAGATTCTACATTCATTCATACAACTATAACTCTCCCCATCCGATTGTTGTTAAACACCGCTCCCTAAACGGTCCAAACCAACGGTTTCCATCGCGTGGCGACGCTTTGGCTCGGCCGCTGAGGTTTGAGGACTCCCTGGAACACGGACGCGACGGTGGGGAGCTGCTGGTGAACTCCTACCACCACCAGGCTGATGAGAAGAGATGAAAAGAGATGAGAATCGGAAGGGTTTCGGGCTCGGCTCCGGGTTTACCAGTTTGGATTCAACCTCTCCATGAACCAGGCATGGATTCTACTATTCAGGAGTGGGCAAGGTGAGGGGTTTAAGGCGAGATCACCAGATCTTGGGAGATCTACACCATCTTTTATGCCAATCAGGAACCCCAACGACTGACCAACCTCTGTGGCTGAAAAAAGAGGTACGAACCTTCTCCGGACACCTTTTGCTCGGAAGAAGTGCCTCTTTCTGCGTCTTTCCTTCCGATGAAGAAGAGGTTTTGCTGGTGGATTGAATGCGACTCAATTCGGTTTTCGCGCCTCACAGGCTCGCTCTTCATTGGAGCGGTACGTTTGTGCCGTTGGCGACTAGAAGGTGTTGAAAAGATCCGGGACTCGAGTCTGGATTTCTCTTGTATCCAGTGTACGTTTGGAGTTTCATTGGCAGACACAGGATTTGGACTGTTTGCGGATGTTTCCGCTCAAACAGTATCCCTCCCTTCATTTATGTCTTTTCCAGAGCCTATAGGCCTTGAAAAACCTACGTCCCACTGATGCCTATCCCATCTCTTTCCCATCCTCCCAAAACAATCCACGCCCACTTCGACACGCACGCATCGATGTTCTCGCACGACCTCGCACGCCGCCCACGGCTCGCTCACCACGCCGCCCACACCCACCCTCCGGGGGAAACCGATCCGCCAGGGCTCGCGGGAGCTGGGCAAAGGACTGCGTGAGATGGCGTGTGCGCCCGATGGAATCACCGAGGCCCGGAGGTCCGGACGCCGTGGAAGATCCACCGGGGACCAAGGACGAAGAAGCGAATCAGGGCGAGCCGCGGCGAGCCGGGCCGCGGGTTGCGGTGGAGCGGGTTCTTTTGGGCTTCGGAGCGGGGCCGGGGGGGTCATTCTTTGGGGGGGTTTGGTTGGTGGGTCACAGAAAGTTGTTCTGTTGGGCTTTATTTTTTCTCGGCACAAACTGCAAGATTCCAGGACATGTGACATGGAGGTCTGCACAGATGTGGGGTTGGGGAGAGGTCTGGCTTCTTTGTTTGTCGGTCGCGCGAGGCCTTTTATGATGAGAAGTATGACCCTGAGAACGGCCACTATGTGGTGGGCTTGCAATTCCATCCAGCCACTTGACCGAATCAGTTGGAAGGTCTGCATTGACGTGGGTCATCTTGTTGAGGTGGACACTGTCAAGGGCCTGTTTGCCATCTATAGGGTATGGATGGAGGGGGCTACAACGCGACAAACACGTCTGGATCATGTCAGATTTTGGGTCTTTCAGTTACGTCCCAAGGCCTTGGATTACGTCCCAAGGCCTTGGATTTTCACAACCCCAAAGATGGTGAATCAATGTGAATCAATTCAAATCACCTAAGACTTGTGCATGCTATTATAGCTCTTAACGAATAGGGCGAGCTCGATTGACTCTCGCTTTCGCATGATTCACTCCACAGGCCTGGAAAGGTGCGGAAAACACGAAAGTTTCAAGCGCATTGCTAGTAGGTTGGAGCCGATGGGCTCCTAGCTTGGAGCCCATGACTTGCTCTTCGGACTTGCAGTCTCTTTTGTGGTTTGAGGAACGCATGCTCGAGGACTATCCGGGCTGCCGACGCCCCTTGGTGATGATCATTCGTCATGTCCGTTCGACTGTTCGACTGTTCGTTGCAGGGAACCCAAAGCGCCGAACCAGAGAGTAGAACCAGAGAGTAGACTCTGGCGGTCGCAGCTATGTCCTCTTCATGTGTGGATGCTCAAATTGAGGGAATCAACCCACACCTTTCTTTCTGAGCCTAGTGGCCTATGTGTGGTCCTATTGATGCACATGGGCCAGTGTGTGGCCTTGGTAACAAGGTGCACGGTCCACAGCCTGGCAGGACGTTGGCTAGCTGTTATTCTCCAATACCCCTCAAGCACATGATCTGAACGTCTCGATTTTCTTGGTGCTGTTACCGATCACTCTCTTGTAGCTGTGATTGACAAGCGACACATAGGGACACCATAATACTAATATTAATGTATAGTATAGTTGAATATGTGTTGAATTACGTCAAACCACCGGCAGGGTTGAGATGGACACACAAACACACACCGAGGTGTTTACGAGAACTTCTTGCGTGCATGCTGTGCCTTTCGCCAGCGATCAGAACAATGAGATTCACGACTTCAGAAGGTGGCAAAGTCAGTGTGTGCTTGAGCGGAGTGATAGCACCATGAGTCTCTCGGGAAAGAGACACCGCTGACACACCTGATGGGTACAGGAGATGCATGTGGTTTGAAGATTTCAATCAGGCCTTTTTCCTGCGGTTCTGATGTAACCGCTGAGGCGGCCAAAAGCCGAACCTCTTGGGATTTGTAGAGAGTGGTCGGCAGGCAGGGGTCAATCTTGTCTGATGCACGCCTGTACAGTACCAAAGTTTTAGAAGCACAGGACTGACTTCAAACTACTTCGACTGACTTCGACGCCCATTTTGAGGCGCCTGAGATGACAGCCATGAAGCTTCATCCGGGCCATTGGTTGCCAAAGTCTTCATGACCATCCAAAAGACAACGTGCATTTTTTGGCCAAACCCTGCAGTTGTGATTCCTGGCTTCAGTGGCCCAATTGAAGTCCGTTTGCTCGAGTAAGTGGAAGAACTTGAATAATTTTTTCTCTTGACCAGTGTGCCTGCTGGACAGTCAGAGCTGGTAGACACTGAGATTTGGGGGCTTGCATGGCCGAGTGCTGCGGCGGTCGTTGTTCATTCTTTTTGGCTCATCTCTTTGGTTGCTGGGTTGAAGCCTTGAAACAAGCATTCGCACCACCCTTGAACATGAAGGACATTTTGATGGGGTGTCTCTTGTTCTGCATTTTAAGTTTCTTTGCCCTGTCAGGGGGGCGGGGGGAGTTCTGGGGACTACCTGCTTTCGTTCACCGCAAGCTGGCACGATCTTCGATGTCGTGCATGCTCCAATGCCAAGTCTTGGGTGCCTGCAATGGGGCTGCCCACCCGCATGGACCTCCTGCCAAGCAGACAATGCGGCAGGGGAAGCGATGCGACCTTTTTTGGAGCTTTTGGAAGAGAATCATTCATGGCTCCAAAAATCTGCAGTTTCGGCCCTGCGAGTGAGATTTCTGCTTGTTTGAGATTCCCGTGGTCAACTTGTGGATCATTTCAACATCCAAAACAGAATTCAGGTGCTGTATAATGATTCATCGTAATAGGCTGCCGACTGAACCAGAAACAACAGAGTCAACTCATCCATAGAATCCTAGAACCTGAGTGAGTGACCTATTTTGGATCACCCACCACCCCCATATTTGGGAGGTCTTTTCCTCTCATTTCCAGGGGTTGCGGTTGTTCTCTTTTCAGCCTAAAGGACGGACGTGCGCCAGTTGTATTTCACGAGCTTTGGCCGGCCGTCCCAAGCGGTCAAGGCGTTATGGTTGGACCAGGACCATCCAGTGACGACCGAGCCCGACCGAACGAGCCGACGTACGTGGGCGCACTCGGTACCCGGCGATGCGCACTCGGTGGGATCATTCATCACCTTCATATGAAAAGACACGGGGCTCCAGCCCCGGAGACCAAAGCCAACGTCCGGGTGTCGTCGTTTCTAGGGGGTAGGATCACCCGGACCCCACTGGAGACCGGCCCCTGAGGTGGTGCCGGGCAAGGCGGAAGAAGAACTGCTTTCGGGACTTCTAGAAAGAGGCAAGACGCTTTTGCGCCACTTGCAGGGTGTGTTTTTTTTAAATGCAGAGTGAACATGATGACCACTTAAGAGCTTTTTTTCCCTGACCTTCCCACGTTGGAAACAAAGAAAGCCTCTGATGAAGATGTGAAGGGGTCTGGACCATGGTCGGAACTTGAGTTCAATCTTCGGGTTTAACGCTGGGCGGAGAGGCAGAGCCACTAAGTCCACCCCTGCAGTGAAGGGCATGAGCTAGGGTGTGGAGTGTCAAAAAGCAACATCCTTATTGAACATCTGGAAAGAGGGGGACATGTTGGTTTGGGAAGTGTAGACCATGTATCATTGCTCCTACAAAGAGCATGTGCAGGCTCTGGTAACCGACTGAGACAGAGACTGAGATGCCTTTTCTTGCAAGCCGACAGGTTTAGAGTCATGCTTTGATGGTCCTTTGGCTTCAAAAAGGGGCGTCCTCGTTTCTTGCCGCAGCGCAGTTTCACGTTCCTCATGCGAAGGTCCAGATGGTCACCGAAGCGGGTCATTCTGCAGAGCTTCTGACGAGAAGTGCCAATATGTATTTTGTAGACAGATATTGTAGCTACATAGGTCTCTTTCTGACAAGGTAAGCTACTACATTGCATAATACAGTAATGTTGCATGTATTCTAAAGAGGTCTAAAAGAGACAGCCGTTTTTTTGTTTTAACCACCAGCAGCCAACATGCCATGCAATGCCTATGTGAAAGAAATAACTATCATGTCACGCTATGCGAGTTGTTGAGAATGGGACCACCAACAAGTTATACTTTGACATATCTTGACCATTCTGGGAAAGAACAGCCATGCCTGCAACTCCAGAAAACATTTTTGTGTTTCATTTGGTTGCAAAGGACAGGCTTGTACATGCGCTTTGCTCTTCGCACACTCTGAATTTCTAAGGAATTGAAAGCCAACCAATTCTGCTGCATTCCCTTGCATCAAGCGTTTGTAAATTGTAAAGCTAGCTACACATCAGGCTTGTTTCGCCAGCACAGACTTTTTCTGTTTGATACAGCAGAGATAGCAGTTAGACAAACACTCCATTAAGATTTTGTGCAAACCGTCACGAGTCACTCACCTGAATCTGGAGGCTTCAACAAGTAAGTCACCATGCGATGCTGAAAACAAACATGCGATGCTGAAAGAAACAGACATCATCCCAGATCGGAAAACTTTCTTCCGTGTATGTTTCCCAAAGGGCGTTGATGATTATAGTACATTCTCTTTTCCATCAAGGATTCGCTCAACCAACACTGGATTGGGCACTCCTTGGTTTCGAAACTTGTCTCCAAGAGCAATTAATCATATGCCATGGTTTGCAGCGGCAAACATGGTCCAAAGGATTTGATGCGAGGCGGCAGCTTGCCCTTGGTAGGGATTACATCGCTCGAGACATTGCTTGAGTTGCTCTGGCCAGCGGAAAGGAGACGACCATGAGCCCCAGTTCCTTGAGCCATACCTTTTCTAAAGGGCAACGATTATAAGCTGGTCTAGCTACATTCGGGATCCGCCCTCCAGGACGAGAGGGCGAAACTGGGCCGCGGGAGATTCACTTTGCCACACATGTCACATGATCCACTCAATACCTTCAGGTGACGTACAGAACTTACAGAACCTCAGTTCAGCAGAGCTTTGACCGCCCAGAGGCCATGGGCGATTTGCATGAAGTCATTGCAGCGTGTGCCGACTTTGGCTTGGCTGCCTTGTTTGAAAGGATGATGAACTTGCCCAACTGTTTAGAGACCCTCCATGACATTCCAACATCCCATCACTCCCATCATTATACTATTACAGCTCATACTCCTCAGTACGCGTCGTTGAAAAAAACAGATCAGCCACCCGCCCTTCACCGTCATCACCCGGAGATCATCCCCAACATCCGCCCCGGAGATCAGCAGCCGCACGCCGAAACACGCCCGGCTTCGGTGAGAGAGTCACCGTCTCCCCAGATCACGTCTTAAAGACCTTCGTTGAGAGAGTGAAGACGCCCGGCCCGGAGCCCCTGAACGGATTCGAGGCGAAGATGTGGCCTACGCATTCAGACGGGGTGGCGAGTGGCGTGCCAGTCGGTGGTGTGAAGCATGAAAAAGAAAGCAAGAGCTGAAGACTTGAAGCATCTTGAAAGCAAACGTAACGTCGGTTGAACATGGAGATGTTGAAGATGTTGAAGCAAAAGCAGATTGCATGGGAAGCGTGTGGCTGTTGATCAAACTGGTCGTCACTATTGCTAAGCAGCGGCAACCAGCTTCTATATGGGATGTCTAACAACGACTACGTGTGAAAACCGTGTAGGTGATGCTGTGGAGCATGCACGGAAGCTTCAAGAAGGTCGGCAGATGGTCGCCGAATGGACGTTGTCCGAAACAACCCCTGCGACGAGTTCCTCATCGAACACGTCTCGCTTCATGCGTTGTGACCGAACGACCGCACGAGTCCCTGTTCGGTGGCCGAACGTAAAGCCAAACAAAGGCCCGAACCGTGCGAAGTGTCGACTTCGTCTGATTGGCAGGTGTTGGGCTCTTCCAGTTTCTTCTAGAGGCGGGGAGACGGTGTTGGCCCGCAACATGCGTCGCATGAACTGGTCGACGTTGACGGTTTTCGCCCTGTTGGAAGACCTTGAAGACCTCGTGTCGTTGGCGGTTTTGAACATTTTCCACGGTTGGGTCGTTGGGGGCGGTTCCAGTCCTCTTCCTGGCTCCTTGGCTCGTGAGCAGCCGAACCGAAAAAACAAAACGTGCAACGACCAAAAAGTAAGACGAGCGGTTAGTGAATCTTCGAAATTGGGCTAAAAGCGTGCGTTGATGCATGCAAATGCTGCAACAGCGAGAACATCGATCACCGATCGCGTTTGATCGTGTGCTTTGCTTGACGTCGCTACGTTTTGGCCGACGCGGGAAAAAATCGTTGCTTCGTCGATATGAGTTATATAGCCGTAGGGGGAGCAATGAAGTGCTCTCTATGTCCTTCTGAGTGCCGCTGCCGGACTTCCTCAGTTCACCTCTTGAGAAAGTCACGGAGCTCATGATCCCCGAGAACCTAGACACAGTTCGCACGCTCGAGCTCACCACAACTGAGTCGTCCGTTTGAGTCCGCGGTACACATGCCCTGGCGCTGCAGCCGGTGATCTTGGCGGAACACGGGTGATTTGGATGTTCCTATTTTTGCCTCAGGGAGTGTCACTCGCACGTTCGCACGTTCGCACGTTGCGCAGAGTCATTAGACATCAGACCATTTGTCTCTCGGCCCAACAAACATATGGAGCCCGGGAGGCCGAAATGTTTCTGCACTCTAAAACGGCCTGAGGCTTCCTCCTATTTTGAATCCCGTAGCAAAGGCTCCATTTGATGTCCATTAATGACAGAAGCCACAGGCCGTTTTAGAGTAGGAAAATTACTGTCTCCCGGGCTCCCCGTTTTTGGGGGACGTCGCAGGCCGTTTAAGAGCGTGGATAATCACACTATATGGTGTGTAGCTGACTTGTGTTGAAAGAGCTCCCCCGGGGATCGTTGAGAACCGCAAATTCCGTGAAGATAGCCGCTTCACAGGGATCAACACAAGCCAGACAAGCCAGCTACACACCAAGAAAATTAGAAACGGGCAAGATAACGAAAGGAGGCACGAAAAAGACCGAAAATTCGCTTGTGATGTACTGTTCTTGGTCTTTCTCACCTTTCTTGTGCGTAGCCGGCTTGAACTAACCCTCTCAAAGCCTATATCTTGGTGGGCTATGTAATTAATCTTCAATGGTCCCGCGGGAGCTCTTTCAACACAAGTCTGCTACACACCATTTATAATTATCCAAGCTCTTAAACGACCTGCGACGTCCCCCAAAAACGGGGAGCCCGGGAGGCCGTAATTTTCCTACACTCTAAAACGGCCTGTGGCTTCCTCCTTTTTTGAATCCCGTAGCAAAGGCCCCATTTGATGTCCATTCGAGGGGTTGAAAAATGACAGAAGCCACAGGCCGTTTTGGAGTGTAGGAAAATTATTGTCTCCCGGGCTCCCCAATTTGAGGGGACGTCGCAGGCCGTTTAAGAGCGTGGATAATTACATATGGTGTGTAGCAGACTTGTGTTGAAAGAGCTCCCCCGGGGATCATTGAGAACCGCAAATCCCGTGAAGATAACCGCTCCAAAGGGATGAACACAAGCCGGCTACACACAAAGAGGGCTAGAGAAAGATACGATAAACGAAACGATACACAGTAAAAACCGAAGAAACTAAAAAGCAAAGCAAACCTAGAAAGAAAAGAGCAAAGGAAAAGGCAGACAGGCGGAAAAGACGAAACGAAAAAGAAGGAAAACCCAAGATCCGAAAGTCGAAGGAAGAAAGAACGCAAGGAAAGAGAGAACAGAAAAAGACAGAGCAAACCAGAAAGGAACCAACCGTAAACCAAAAGGTCGCAAAACGAAGAGAAAGAAAAGAGAAGAGAAAAGCAAGGGCAGAGAAGAAAAATATAAAGAACATGTAAATCAAACGAATCAGAGGGAAGCGAAAAGAAATGAACAAAATCCTTTTAGTCTAACGCAGTGCCATACGTTTAGCTGAGGTTAGCCGATTTCCCTTGTGTCGGAACAGAACATAACACAGATGAAATGTCAATTGCTGATCGCAGCCTGTTGTATCAAGCTATTATCTCGATTAAGCTTCCCTCTTCGCAGTCTCAGCCAACTTGATTGCTGGGGCCTTATACATAAGGGTTCTCACTAGAAGCCAGCCATTGAAGAGTCATGCCCGCGCCGACTGAGGCAATGGCCACTGTGCGCATCGAGGTCGAGTTTGCCCACTTTGCATGCTGCTCCTGCGGCGCCTCGCTGGCAACGCATGAGCAAAAGACGTGCAAATAGAGACAGAAGAAAACAGAGAAAGAGAGAGAGAGAGAGAGGGAAAAAAGAAAACAAACGAAAGACACAACAAAAGTGAGAGATCAATCAAGAATCAAAACAAGCAAAGGAATGAAGAACATTCGATCGTGTCGACGAAGTGAGGTGAGAGCGGCGTGCCGCTCGGACCGTTGGATTGGGACGCGGCCGCCTGGTGGAACACCTTGCGCTGCAAGGCTGGACACACAAAGCACGCAAAGCACGCAACGCACTTAGAAACCATTCCATCGAGTCGGATATCGCCCGCTTGTTAGGAATGCCTCCTCAACCTCGGCTACCAGGCTTGGCCGGCAGAATGCCTTTCTCCAGAGGATCGGGGTCGATGTTACCGCTGAGGTCGTCAGAAAGACGTCCGTGCGAACCTGGCGCCCAAACCGAAACCAAGGCCGCCCATTGGATATGAAGAAGAGGATAGTATTGTCGTAACAAGAGATAATAAAAAACACATATATAATAGTAATAAGCCAGAACACCAGATTTTATGTTTCTTGGTGCCCTGCAATTTCCAGGTGAACATCGACGCAACTTCTGGGCGCCACCGGGTGGCGGGTCCATGTGAAGGTCCTTTGCAGGACCAAGAACATCGCCAGGTGCCAGGTCCTCCACCAGGACCGCCGAAGCGGTGGTTAATGGACCCCTTAACAGCTAAGGGGCTTTAAGTAAAGACACCCCTTGGAGAGGGCCCTGGCAGAGTTTGATTGGAGATCCGCGATGCACCTGCTCAGAGCTGCTCAAGTCTGAGAGGGAGGTCCGAGACCAGGTCGCACAGCATTTGCATCACCAGTCGGGGACAGAAGAGGGTTCATTTATTCGCCCAGGATGTGAGGCATCCCTGGCTGCTTTGGAGGCATCTCTGCTTCCTGTCTACACATACTAGATGTTCTTTGGCATCGCCAGCCGGCGGAAACTATGGGGATAAGTCCATGCGCTCACCACAGCACTTCAGCCCACGCCGACAGATCTGCACAGAACGCGATAAAGCGCAAAAACAGAACTCCTATGTGCATTGACAAAGGTGCTTCTTGGCATGGAAGCAAACCCTATGGAACCCACGGCTATAGCATCTGTCAGCGAGACGATAGCAGCAGCAAGTGTGCTAGTGCCACAATGCAGGAGATCTATCAGAATGGCCCAATCACTGGCATGATTTTTGTGCATCAAAGCTTCCTTTCCTATAAGTCAGGCGTTTACAAGGCCGTGCCATACCATCAAGAGGCCATACAGGCCGTGCACGAAGAAAACATTGAGAGGCCATACCATCAAGATCATTGGCTGGGGCTGGCTGAGCATGGAACTCCCTACTGGCGAACGTGGCGAAGAATTGAAATGCAGATTGGGGTGACCATGGCTACTTCAAGATCGAAAGGGGCACCAACCAGTGGTGGATCCCTGGCTGCCCAAGAGTTTGGTGCCCCTCAATGCGGGATGATCAAAATGATGGGTGTTTCTGTCTGAGTTGGGGATGGACATTTGTTGAAAAGTTTATGATAATCGTCCCACATAATATATGTTATTCTCTATTCTTCGACAATTTACCTGCCGTTGCTTGAACCGCCATCAAGAAAAGGACAAGTGTCTGAACTGAAATACCACCAGATTCTAAAACACACTGTCACACCGCCACAAACATATACACAGACATAACAACATGGTAATATAACATAACATATTTAACAACTTATTAAACACAACATATTTAATAACATAACATAATAACAATATACTGTATATACAGTAGTTCAATATACGCAGACATGACCAAACGGTAATCTCCTTTGAATCTGCACCACAGGAAGAGTCCAGGATCCGCAAAGCCTCGCCTGCACCCTCGAGGCGAACGACGAAAGAGCGTCACGGGCGTCTCGGGCGTCGGGCACGGGCGTCTGTTTGGTGAGCAGAAGGAAGCGAGAAGTGAACACAGAACACAGGGAATCCGATGTCCATTGTTACTGTAGATCAAGAAACATCAAGGGGGCGGCGAATTGGCCGGGCGGCTAGCGCCGCTCACGCTCACGCTCACGGTCATTGGCCGGGCGACCCACCCCTATAGCCTTCATGGATAGCACCCCTTTGTGACAAAAGGGTTTCCGGTATTTTGTTCGGTGAGTCTTTCTTGGACGACCAGGCCTGATGGTTTGGTGGCCGGCATCTTTCCCAACACCCTGGAGGCCACCGTGAGAACTTGCGGAAGTTGGGCCCATGACCGACCCGGGAAGACGGGAAGACCGGTCGTTGAGACCTCCGGATGGAAAAGGCGCCGGGCTCCAGGTGGTGACTCACGACCCAGCCAGTTCACACCCGAAGAATCCGGGCCCGAACCAACACAATGCGTCCGTTTCCTTCGCGTCTTGGCCCCCCTGCCAAGAGGTCGGGCCTGGGGCGATGTGACGGGCCAGAAAACAGCTTCGTTGGGTTTTGTCCCATGGATGTTCCATGGTGTTCCTCCTCCAGACTCCCCTAGACTCGCGATGAGAGCCGTGGAAGAGTCTCAGGATCTCGGCCTATTGCACAATCATCGGTCCGTGAGGTGGACTATGGTGGACCCTCACAGGAATGGTGAACTGGTGAAACCAAATGGGAGTTTCACGGGTTGGACTGAGCTTCATGGGTCGGACTCCCAGTTGGAATGACTTGAATGTTGGAACGTGGCCAAATGGTATCCATTCCTCCCGTTTGGATGGTGTTTCACCATGTGAAACCCCTTCCTGTGGGGGGTTTCAAAGAGTCAACTCTCTGCATGATAACTCCCCCAAGAAACACTCTCTTGAGATCTTTTCACTTTCTTCCCAGAGGGTGAACATGGGGACATACGGGCCCCCCCAAATTGGTTTGACCTTGGATTGGTTCACCAGGAGTCTGGTTTGTTATAGTGGTAAATCCAAACAACCTAAAAAGGCGTTTTATATGGACTCCCATCCAAAAAAGACATCTTGGGGTTTGTGCCATCTACTCTGAAGCCACTGTATTTTTTGAGGTTGTGTGGAAGCCTGTGGGTTTGAGTTGTGTGGCAACTTTGAAGATTTTGAAGTGAATCTATACAATCTACAGGCAAAGATGTCAAAGTGCGTGGTCGACTTGAAGATCATGCCACTGTAGCAACTCAGCAGTCCCTGTTGTGGAACTTGGCCACCAGCCGTACTTTGTGGGAACTGGCCAGGTTCAACAGCTGCTGCAGGAACTTGATACTGTGAATGGAACCATTCGTGCCTTAGATGAGGTGCGACGTGATTCTTTGGACGCCGGGAAAACACAGCAGACAGGGACATGAAACTGGATTCATCTGGAGGGAGCTGCGGTGTGGACGGGAGTCCGATTAGGGGGGAAGTTGCAGACTCAAAAATATCCGGAGAGCGAGTGAGTTTTTTTTTGGGGATTTTGTTTTGGACAAATTCCAAGAAAAAAAAACAAACAAAACACAATCAATCCCAAACTAACAGTGCACTCAAGAATTCCTGCTCTGACAGTTTCTTCTTTTTACATCGAGCTGTTTTTTTGACTTGATTGTGATTGAGACATGCGAAAGAGGTTTTCGGGTGTCAGGTATGGACAGTATGGATAAGTATGCACTGACATGCACCTCCTTGTAGAATGTCCCCGATCATGTGTGTGAAGACAAGATTCCCAGTTTTGAATTAGGCGTGAAACTGCTAGCTGCTAGCTAAAGGGGATGAAGCTGATCGCGCCTGGCAGATGATAGCAGCAGAGAACATCCCTTTGGCAGATGGCATTGGTCGTGGGCTCGTCGTTGTAATTCCACAAATTCACTGGGGTCTAAAGGCCAAATGCACTTGGATGCACTTGGGCTTAGGTGCTTCGAGCAGTGTGGCTTCAAGTGGTATGATCTCTGCAGAGGACGGGGCCAATTCTTTGAGCACCAATGACATGTTACTTGCCTGAGGAAGTTTCCTTCCTTCAGACCTTGGTGAACCCCGGAAATGTGGTTGAAACATGGTTGCAAACCTGGTTTGAGACCACGAAGAAAAGAACACACCGCCGAAAGCGGCGGCACGGTGCAACTGGCAAGCAGCTTGCGGAGCGCCAGGCCTTGGCAGCTTGCAACACATTGCATGGATCCCTATGGAAGGTGTGTTCTTTCGTTTCTTCGTCTCGTTTTTTTCTTCGTCTCATGGCACAAGGGTATGCAAGTGTTGACTTGCCTGGCGGCAACTTTGTGCACCCAGGGCCCCTCAAGTGACAAGAGTTTTTTTGAATTCTGGATAGACAGTACACGGACATACTGTCTCCACAGTATGGATAAGTATGTTTCATGGCCTCCAACCTACTAGCAATGGAACATACTTTCTTCTTTTCAAACATCTACACAGACAGAACAAAGTGCCTGTGAACACATGACCTACAACCCTCTCCCCTTAGAAAGATACAGGGGATCACAGTGGAATTCCGGCGGATTAATTTCCACCCCGAAGTAAGTTTACCGTATTTAGTTCGGGGTGGAAGGGACTCCGCCGGAATTCCAATTGGAAAGAGAAATCATATCAATAAGATTCTCGAGTGAAGTTGTTAAACTCCTCATGAAGTATATATTCATCCGCGGGCATAAACCACTGGAAGACCATGTTCCGCTATGTTCCAATACAAATCAGGTGAGGTTCCATCGAGGCCTTTTCAGGTTGTTTCTCCGGTTTTTGGGGAAGCCGCATGCCTGCAAATGTTAGAACAATCTATCCGATGGGTCAATTGTTTTCTGTCGGAGATGCTGTACCATCCCTTTTGCTGTGGCTATCCGAGGCCTGGACAAATCCCGAGTTCAGCCACACTGCCTGGACAGCCAGTCATAGGAGGTGGGCAGATGGCCTACTTATTCTTCTATGACTGAAAAGTACCAAAGGCAGTCAAACCTTGCTGGGGCTGCTAGCTGGGAACATGAGAAATGTATACAGTATGAGAATGTATGAGAGTACCTAATGAGTGGAACATCATTCTTTGAGTTGAACTTTACCAGCCCTAGGGCTCCAAGTACCTTCTGAGAAGGTGTTTGGGGTGGGTTTGGAGGCTCCAAATAGAGGTACTTGGAACCCTAGGGTCTATAGGGCAGGGCTCTTTTAAAGGTTTCACTTTGCTGACTTTGCTCGACAAGCCAAACTGTGGGGCAGAAGTGACTCTGCAGTTGACCCGAAAGGCCTCCAGCTATTGGCTGCTTCTGCAGCACACGAAGTCTGTGTGGCCAGCTGAGTTTGCTTTTTTCCCGGTTGATCAGTGCATGGTTTGAGGTATCTTTGACCCTATGCAATCAGGAATCACATCCGTTCCTGCAACTTACCATGTGGACCGAAAAACATGTTTCAGGCTCAGCTTCAGGGTCTCCGCTTTTGCATCTTATTTGTCCGCCCAGTTCATGTTGATTCATCTCCCCGAGATCATCTGGGAATGTGTCCCCTATACCTGCAGCCTTGGTTTACCATGGTCCCCTTTTGGGCGAGGTCTCCTGGTGCCAGCTCCCCACAGCCATGTATAGGCGAGTTGCTTTGAAAGGGAGTTCGCCCTCCCTCGCTGCCGTCGTTGCTGTCGCTGCCGCTGCCGTTGGAACTCGGCAGACTTGTTCGCTGGTTGGGCGGTCGCTGGTTCTCAGGTCAACTCTGGGCTAGGATCGGAACCCCAGAAGGACGAGCGCGTGGGTGCTGAGCAGGGTGTCCATCACTTTCATCACTTTTTGAGCGATGAGGGTGATTATATGGATTTATATGTGGTGAAAATGGAACATGGTGCAATAGAACTGATCTTGCCAAATCTTTGCAGAGAGATGACGTAGAAGTCTAGCTCTTCTTTGATGCCTTTGGTGATGCCTTTGGTGATGCCTTTGTGATGCCTTTGAGGCTGGAGCAATGCTTTGGTGGCAATGGATGCACCGAGCAGTCGTCGATTAGCCGATGCTCAAGACACAGCGGTCTCCTCAGAATTCATGGCCAAGGCACACCTCATGAGATCTCCCATAGATCTTAATGCATCTTCAAAGGGAATAGGAATTATTGGGAGAATGTTCATGATTCATGGGATTAATTCAAGAATGTTCATAATCTCCCAAGTCACACACAATGAACATGGCATGTTCCAAGCATCACCCGAGTCATGACGTGTGTTTTCCTCAGGCTCATGTGGCCTCACTTCTATGCTCGCCGCGCTCGCCTGACAGTCCTCCAGCGCCCCCACCTCTTCCGCGCCCGGACTCGCAAGAGCTTTTTCCAGTGGTGCCCATCGAGGCGATCGAATCGGAGCCGCCTGCGGCGGAAGGAGCCGTGCAGTCGGAGGGACGGCCCCGGCAGCCGGTGGTGGTGGACCTGGTTCCGCTGTGGAACGGGGCACCCGAAGAGGTAGGTCTTGGAGTTTTGCCACCGCCACAGCTGCCGCAGCCAGAGCTACATGCTTTGGTGCCAATGGATGATGCCATCGAGAGCTTCTCTGAAGATGTGGTTCTCAAGTCCCTTGAGCTACCAGAC